TTAAGTGAAATTAACTAGTAATGAATTTAGTAATTGAAATTAAATACACATCTAATAATTTTGCTTTCTGTCGCCCCAATCCTAGGCCTGCAGCTGGGTTTTATAAAACCTTTTCGCTTTAGGCCTCCACTGCCGTGTGCAAAAAAAAAAAGGTTCAATCAATCAGTCAATTTCAACTTCTTGTGGGGAAAAAAAAAGATCTTGCAAAGTTGGAATTGATTGATTGAACTTTTTAGTCCCACCCAGTCTGCCGTTACCATCAAAGCCATGCCCACCCAATGAGCTACACCCCCCAATTGGCCACACCCATCAATGGGCCACACCCACCTGGCACGCGACAATGCATAAGTGGGTTTTGGGTTGCAGTTTGGGCACTCAGTCTCTAAAAGGTTTGCCATCACTGCCCTAAAGCTTATAGCAATAGCTGATATAGGATAAATGCATCTGTGAATTACCCAACTGCAGCCTTAAGTAACACTCACCATAATAATAAAGCTTAAAGTAACTCCTCTTCAATGAAGTATCATTGAAATACCTTGTATTTTTAGCTCTTCAGTGATTACTACAGTATATAATCTACTCAGCATTGAGAATCAAGTGTGGCAGATCTAAGGACACCTGTAAATCACAGGAATCATGTTATTAAAATGGCATAACAAGAATATTATTTTCCCCCATGTGTTACAGTAACTTTCTTCTGAATTAAAATGAAATTCCCAAAATGAATTATTCTGCATTTTGTATTATTTTGTACAATAATGTATTCAGTGGTGGAAAAACAGTTTTATCTAGAAATGCTATTATCATTAATACCTGTATCCATCAATAATGAAATTTGAGGAGTTGTGCTTTAACAAATTTTGCATAGAATTTCCAGCTTTTCATATAGGTTTAAAGAATTAGGCAAAACTCTCTCCTCTCCTTTGGAAGATCTTGCCCCCAGGTGTGACTCAGCTCCCACCCTCTGACCTTTCACAAGAACTTGAAAACCTGGCTCTGCCATTTGGCCTACGGCTCCAATGGGACAGTCGTGCTGGATGAGGTTGATAAAGTAATAACAGAACCCACCTCCCTTCCTGCTCATCCTACTCCCTCCCTTTCCATCTTTTAGTTACACCTGATTTATATTTTTATAGTGTTTTATTCTTATACTGTACATATTTTTGTATTGTTTGATTCTTTTTAACATTGTAAGTCACCTAGAGCAGGGGTCCCCAACCTCTGGTCTCTGCACCAGTACCAGGCTGCAGCATGCCAGCAACCGGTCTGCACAAACAAGCAAACTCCATCTGCGGAATGCAAGCAGCACACAAAACCGTGAACCCTCCGGTCCATGGAAAAACCTCTCTCCATGGAACCGGTCCCTGGTGCCCTAAAGGTTGGGAACCTCTACCCTAAAGTCATCTCATGATGAACTGTGCAGAAAACTAATAAAATAAAATAAAATATAAAAAAATAAAATAAAAATCCCAGATTTGTAGGAATGTGAGTTAACAATAAAGTTTTTGGCATTATTGAGATAGACTGGAAGATAAGAGAGGAATACATATATTTAATAGAAGTATAAACATTTAAATATTTTTAATGGCAGATTCATGTGAAAGTATGTCATTAGATGAAAACTTGCAAATATGGCACAGATCAAAGAGGCATATTGATCCATTTTAATCTTTAAAAGAAAAACAGTTCTGATATTAATAAATATCTCTATAGTAAAATAGATGATACATATATTGGTTGGCTCATCTGAGGAACCAGACAACATATATAATTAGCCAGCATCCATTGTTCCCTGGATGCAAATAGACCTCACATCTTGTCTTCAGCATTTTGTAAAAAATACCTCTCATCTTCAGCATTTTGTAAAAATTACCTTCTCAGTTTCTAAAATGAATTTTTATTTTTAAAATAGATTTTAAAAATAAATAGAATTAATTGTTAAATCTAATGAACTCAAACTCTGGTTAAATATCTAGACACAGCATGAGATATTAACACTTAGAAAATATATATTACTTTAATCTTACTTGTCTTTCTTTGACATACAAAATAAGTCCCATGCAATTATTCAATGTGCTCTGCATGGGGCTGCCCTTGAAAGGTGTCCAGAAGATTCAGTTGATTCAAAATGCAGTGGCCTGCATGGTTTTGTGCAGGCCTAGATGTGCCCATGTGTCATCTCTTCTGTGGGAGCTGCATTGGCTTTCATTTGCTTCCAGGTCCAATTAAAGACACTGATTGTCAACTTTAAAGCCCTACATGGCTTGGGACCAGATTATTTAAAGGACCATATTTTCACAGTCACATCCGCTTGACTCACCGGAATGAGGAGGCAGGGAATACTACGGGTTCCCTCTCCTAAAGAGGTTCATCTAGCAGGACCAAGAAGAAAGGTCTTCTCTGTGGTGACTCACTTACTGTATCATGATGGAGATAAGATTGGCCCCCACTTTGATACTCTTTTGCACTGCCCTGAAGAACTGGTTTTGCCAATGGGCCTGGGGACCCCAGAATGGCATGGAGCCCATCAGGTGGCTTATATGATTGATTGTTTGATTGATTGATTGATTGATTGTTATTGCCAGGGGAATGGAGGGTTATTGCTTTTTTACTTAACACAATGTACATGATTGATGTAATTGGTTTTGATTGTGAGTGAACTTTCTGTGCACTTAAATTGCTCTTAGGGCTAATGTGTGGTTTTTTGACCTCAGCCCACATTCAAATGAATTTTGCTTAGACAATCAAATAAATCTAAATAATAAAATAAATGGATTTAAAATATCAGAATTTCAGCAGATATTCTTGCCTCAAAATACTGTACTAAGCAAGAGTAAGACCTTTGTACATAGCTGTAAGTTAATTAAGGAACAGTGGTGGAGAATTAACACCAGATTGCTAATAAGAAATTTCTTAATTAGTTAGCAGTTTTAAAAGGAAGATTATTTTAAAGATGTTTGTAAGGATTTTGAGTTATTTGAAAGGGCAAGTTACCAATCTGAACCTAAGGCTTCCCAGAAATCATTACTATTCCCTTTTTCAACCGAGTGGAAGTAAATTTGCATGTTATCAAAACTTCATTGTAGTGACATTTTTCAAAACCATTAAGTGTGAAAATTTGAACACAATAACCAATAGCCCCAAAATTATTGTGATTAAAAGATAAAGTTGTTAATTTATTTATTTTATTTACACTATTGAAAGAGTGCAGAGAAGAGCAACAAAGATGATTAGGGGACTGGAGGCTAAAACATATAAGGAACGGTTGCTGAAATTGGGAATATCTGGTTTAATGAAGAGAAGGATGAGGGGTGACATGATAGCAGTGTCCCAATATCTCAGGGGCTGCCACAAAGAAGAGGGAGCAAAGCACCTGAAGGTAGGACAAGAAGCAATGGATGGAAACTAACCAAAGAGAGAAGCAACCTAGAACTAAGGAGAAATTTCCTGACAGTTAGAACAATTAATCAGTGGAACAACCTGCTTCCAGAAGCGGTGAATGCTCCAACATTGGAGGTTTTTAAGAAGAGACTGGACAGCCATTTGTCTGAAAATGGTTTGCTGCCTGAGCAGGGAGCTGGACTAGATGACCTCCCCCTTCCAACATCATCATCATCATCATCATCATTATTATTATTATTATTATTATTATTATTATTACTACTACTACTACTACTATTACTACTACATATCTTACTCATCTTATTCTGCAGATAAATATAAAGTAGTATATTTATTCTGCAAATAAACATAATGCATGGACAATCCAAAACCTACAAATGACACTGAAATAAACAAAATTAATTTAATAAGTTTCCAAGCTTTAATAATTAAAAGCTTGGAAATGTTTGTAATCATTGAGAGGATTCAAATTGTTCCATAGTCTCTCTGCATGTTGAAAAAACAGGCCTGACACAGGCAGCATCTTGAGATGAATAACTGCAAAGCGCTCTATACGGGATTGCTTATAAACTATTTGGAAGCTTCAACTGGTACAAATGCATTGCCATGGACAATTATGGGTGCTAGTCCTTCAGCACATCTGACACCTCTGTTTTGTGAGCTGCACTGGTTGTCACTGTTCTTTCAGGTTCAGTACACTGTACTGTAGTTATCTTTAAAGCCCTTCATGGCTTGGGACTTGAGAGGCTAACTCTCTCTCGTATCTTCCCATCCTGTTAGATCCAGTAGTAGAGACATGCTCTAGGCTGATCTATTAGGGGGTGTCATTTGGTGGAACCCATTAAAAGAAAGTTTTGTATCATGGCAACTGCCCTGTGGAACAACATTCCCCTGGTGTTTAAGAACTTGACCCAGCTCTACTGCCTTTCATAAGACCAGGAAAACCTGGTTTTGTCATTGAATCTGGGATCCCCGATGTGTGGCTAAGTTGATATCATGTTTAATTGTTGTTGGTTGAATTTTCTCAACTGCTATTTATGTTATTTATAATTTTATTGTATGGTTTTTATCTTGTTTTTAAGTATCATTAGATGCCTGGAATCATGTGTCTAATATAGGTGGCTGAATAAATAAATTAAAAAATGAACTTCTCCTTTATATCCTAACAACCAAACAGGTTCATAAGATTATTCTTTATCTCCATTCATTACTTCATTATACATAAGAATCAAGATGAATTTAAATATGACTTTGTTCTACTTTAGTCTGCTTAGTTAAACCTATAAACCTTCAAATGATTGGATTTTTTTGAAAAGCAGATTAAATTTTATGCTCCTAATGATAATAATTCACTATTTTGCCCTCAGCAGGCCATCCAGAATGAATAGCTCACTGCTGCTGGCAGAGTTAATGACTCTCCTCTCCTTAAAGTTTTAAGATTCCCAGTAAATACTAAGGAGAGTGCCTAATTTACCCATCTCCTTCCAGCTTTTTGATATCTGACTTATTTGCGTATTTGCTTGTTGTCACAAAAAATACAGCTTTTCAAAGGAGTTTGACTATGCTTTTCTTTTCTTTTTTCTCTCCTTCTTTTCCAGGAATGGAATAGCAAATTGCCGAATGAGGACAGATAGCGAGCAGTCGTGTGGTTCTCCATTGGTGAGTGGTGACCCAAAGGAGGATCATAACTATAGCAGTGCCAAATCTTCCAACCATAGGAGCACATCACCCACTAGTGATTCTGTTTCCTCTTCTTCTGCTGATGATCATTATGAATTTGTCTCAAAAGGCAACCGGGACAGTAGTGAGGGCAGCGAGGTCAATTTCCATAGCCACGAGAGCCATAGTGAGGCAGAGGATGAGAGCAAACGGCAAAATCGAAAAGAGACCAAGGATTCTGTAGCTGATAGCGGGGTCCCCTCTCAGCACAAGAAACGTCAGCATTTATTGAAGGCGAAAAAAGTACCGAGTGACACACTGCCTCTTAAAAAGAGACGCACAGAGAAACCACCGGAGAGTGATGATGAGGAGATGAAAGAAGCTGCTGGATCACTCCTGCATTTGGCAGGAATTCGATCTTGTTTGAACAACATCACCAATCGGACGGCAAAGGGACAGAAAGAGCAAAAGGACATGACGAAAAATGAGAACAAATCCATTGACTGAACTTATAAAACGATTTTGTTTCAGCACGTCAGGTGAATTCTAATGATTTGTGGCAATATCAGAAAATACTTTCTTCAGTTTTTTTTTCTTTCCCCATTTTTTTCTTTTTTTTCTTTCCCCTCCTTTTTTGAACCCAAAATATTTGTGTTGTATTTTTTTAAAGGAGATTGAAGCCATAGAACTCATACTGATACTCATCTAATTTTACAAAAGCTTTTCATTACATGAAGACAAAAATAAGTGAAAGCCAAAATTGCCGTTGCTTTCTCCAGTTTGTCAGAAATGCATGGTTGACTACGCTGTGATACCACCAGTTAATGTGAGAGGAATAGAAATTGGCACTTGAAAATATATAATGAGAAATTGAATAATATGGTAGATCCAGGCCAGGCTCTTAGAAAAATAATTTAAAAGCCTTATAATTAAATGAGAGAGAATGTATGTATGAATGAATGTATGTATGTGTGCATGTATGTATATTCCATAAATTTGAGGGAAGTCAGAGGCCCATCTTCAGAATCAAGAATAAGATAGTGGCATTTGCTTGCATTTGTGCCATAGAAATCTTGGAATATCCACTAAAAACAGCTGCTTATACAGTAATGAATTACCTAAGCTTCATATACTGTATATGGCTCATAATGTGAAGACTTAATACTTTTTAAATTATGGAAACTGAACTGTGTATGCAATGAGTTTCAATAATATAAGGAGAAAAGGGTGGAGGGGGTTGGGGGGATTAGTAATATTCTTTAATCAATTAATTGTCTTCTATATTTAAATTAAAAGAATGTTTTTTAAAAAAGCCATAAGCCTGAAGATTGGCACTGCCTGCAAAAATATTATGGGAAAACAAGCTATGAGTTCTTAACTGCCTGAGTGAAAAGCAATCAAATCTAAAATAAAAATATGAGTAGATATTTAAAGAGGATCAAAATGAGGAAACCTTTTTGATAGGATAAAAATATTGATCTCATGAGAAGAGCAAAATACATATGCTACAAAACTTGTCATTAGTATTATATTACATTTAAAAAAAAACAAATATATTTGGTTGGTCAAGAAATCCTAATCTTAACTAAAACTCTGTACAGTGCTCCTCAAAACGCTGTACCTGTTAAATAGCCAGGATTCATTTGTGCAAAAATAACAATATATTTCCAGTTATAACCTCTGTAGCCAGATTCACTGATCCTTATTCAAATTGCATGGATACATTTCTGGGAGGGGCTCAGGAGTACAAAATAAAACCCCCCTTTTTAATTCAAAGATAACAAAAGTTCTTGTAAGGTAAATAATGTATTTAGCATGAAGCATGAATTATTTTCATATAAATAGAGAAAAATAGAGAAAAGGCTATGCCTCTAATTTTTAAGCCAATAGGCTTAGTTTTGGTTTTTGGTTTTTTGGTTTGTTTTTTATTTTGTTTGGGAAGCAGGTGTTTTAAGGTTTAACCTTTTTCAGGGACAAATACTGACTGTTGGGGAACTTATTCTGCAATATTAAAAAATAAAACTTCATGCTCGGGTAGGGCTTGGATGGTTGAATTATATTGCCTTGTCTGCACATTCAGCCCCCTTCCCCTACTTCTCTGTTTATTGAACATGTTTGTCCTTTTGTTGTCTTTACATGTATTAACATTACGCAATAATTTTGAGGGCAAAGCAAGTAGTGAGTGTGTATGATTAAGACTCCAGGAAAAGACACTGAATTTACTGTATAGTTGAGAGAGAGGAAACAATGGGCAATTCGGTTTCAGAGAGATTGTAACCAATGAGATACACAGATATGCCAAGAAGGGATAAGTTTTGAAAGGGCTTTCATTTGTGTTCATAACCTGACTTGAGTAAATGATTGAGAAGCAACTTCGTTACGGCCATACTTGTGTTTGCAGTGGTAGTCCTGTAAATGGACTATCATTGCATGGCAGTAGAGTTTATAATAAGGCCAATATCCCATACCACCACCACCCCAAAAAAATACCAGAATAGACAGACATAATCTTGAGATTATTTTAAGACTTGTAGATTAGGTTCCAAATGACACTTGCATGATCTTGTCAAGAATCCAGATTCTGCAGCTTATAAAATTTCCCTTAAAATGTGGGAGCTACAGTCAGACAAAAAAACTAGGATGCCCTCCCAAGAATAGTATTAGGAAGGCAGCTCTTTTGATCTTAGCAGCTTCGTTTTAAATAAATATAGCTTTATAGCAATGGAAGTAGTGATGTTATTGATGATGTTTTAAGGTTTAGCGATTAAGATGAATTGAGAACAGACAGTGGCAACAAACTGAAACAGAATTGGAAATTAGCTATCATTGAATTATATTTTAGGAAGTATATGTGGTATCCACTGAAAACTGATACAAATAGATTTTTAAAATAATGTGTGCCAAATCAGGCTTGAGCTAACAAAGGTTTGAAAGCAAGTTCAACCTCTGCATTGTCTATAAGACACTTTTTTTGTGTATTCAAAAATCAGAATCCCTATTTCTGCCTCCACCTTCTGAAAGAATTGATATTTGCCTAAAAAAACATTAGGAATCTTTAAGAGTGAATGAAAAGAAACCACATTAGTGAATTAGAGTTTTCTCTTCATAGAAGAGTGCCAAATACATCTTGTGATTGCCATGGGGTCCTGATGAAATGTAAAATATTTTGTTGCTATTTATTGCAATGGAATAATTATTTCAAAGTTAAGCTGTTTAAGTTGTAAACTGGAAGGATTCTGAACTCAAAATTTTATTCCTTAGGCCAGGCATGTCAAACTGCTGGCCCACAGGCCGGATACGTCACTCTGAAACCGTGCCCACCCCATTGCCGGCAATGGGGGAAAAGTTGCAATACATTGCGCGACGTCACATGACGTCGCAAGTTTGACATGCCTGGCTTAGGCCAATGTTCTGACATTTAGAAAAATACCACAGTGTAAAAAGAGAACTGAGGGCATATATTATAATATTGAAGTTATATTATCCTACATAATTCCATTGAAAGTAAAGCAATTTGTCTCAGTACTTTGTCCACTAAACTCCACCGAAATATACAACATACTTCCAACCAGACTGTATCCCACTAACTGAACATCAATAAGTTGTAATGTCTTAAATAAAAAGTAATGTGCTGCAAATAATTTTAGCTATTGCTATACAAAAAGCAATCACAATTGATATTTTTACAAAATAAGGCAAAATTCATTTGAGGGTAAGCAGTATACAAGCTGCAAATTAAGTACCTGGATTTTATTAGAAATTATGGAAGATTTGCTAAGAGTTTGCCTTGTCTGTCATACAGCCACAATCAATAGTTTAATCTAAACAAACTCCACAACACTATTCTATTGTACCAACTGATCTTTAGTGCCAAACTGAAAATAAAGCAGATGGACCCAAGTTAAAAACATCAGATACTACTTCAATTCAGGTGAAATCCATCCTCTGTGTGTTGAGCCCATCCTTATTCCTACACTTCAGCCATTTAAAAATAACAAGAGGGGAATGTTCATAACTGGAAGATGTAAGCAATAATAAACAAAATATCTGTTTGGTCTTTCTTTACTCCCACACAGAGTACTAAAAATAAGCCAGTAAGTTAATTCCCATTGACATTCAGGCATACTTCTTCAAGCTATTAACTTCCATCTTAGGAGTTGTAGATCTCACAGTTACATTCTTCTTGTCTGAAGGTCTTTAAGACAGCACAATCTGAGACAGTATCTCAGAAGACCTTGAGCAGAATATAGGAAGTCCTATTCTGTATGCATTGTGGCACAGTGACAAGAAGAATGTGTATATGTACTTGGATAACACATGCATCTACCTTGTTATATCGTTCTTAGTGTGTTTGGGTAATAGAGGCAGCTTTTCTGCAAATAATTTTTGTAGGAACTGGATTGTCAAAATAATGTATAAGATTTTTTTCCTATAAAATAGTGAAATGTTTACTCCATATTTCTCCTTCCATAAATGAAAGGGCTTTCTCTGTCACCAAAAGCTTTTGTTCTAATAGATGGTTTTAACATAAGGGAAGAAACAACTGTTGTCAATTATCTAGTCTCTTTATAGCTCCAAATATCATTTCCCACATTATGCTAAAAAAATCCTCCAACTTTCAGGGGCTGCAGCTCTGGTGTGGAAGAAATTCATTTCTGTTTTCAAACACGCTATTGGGAACATGTCCTGAATATTCCCATTGGCAGGAATAAAATTTGGATTCAAGCCAGCATCAGTTTAGATTATGATTTAATTCTCAGTAATGTTTTTTTCATAGCAGACCATTGCAGAATTGCTTATCAGCAATCTAGGTTTGCCATTAAATCATTTTAATGATGAACTTTTACAAGCAATGCTTTAATTCTGAACACACCAAAATATGCAGTGGTCATACTTTGAGTTCCATTCAGTTCTTTGGTGACTAAAAATATCTTTTGAGTACCTGTGTTGTAACTTTCAACATAAAAGAGGTTGAATACAGTTCTGCTGGAATGGAGGTTTGTATCCACAATGAAACTTAATTGAGATTTGATGTGAGGATATCCATATGTCTTTCCCTGAAAAAAAGTAGACTTACATCCAAAAGATGCAGAAATAAAGTGGGGTTAGTAATCTACTGGAACAAATCTTCTGAACTTTAGATCAGCTGTTCAGAATATGCCAGCTGCAAATCTTTCTTGGAAATTGCTCCTAGTTGTATTTCTGTATAGCATTAGATAGATGACAACTTGAAAACTTTCATGGGTGATTATTAGTGTATTATGTCACAGAATATATAAACTATAAAAACTTGTCAGCAGTTGTTGCCACTCAGTTCAGATAATCTGTCTTGGACCGGAGAACAGAAGTGATTTGAAAGCCATTTTTCTATGACAAATGGAAGTACTTCTTCAGAAGAAATAGTGTGCTATTTCTTTATACACTAGCAGGTTCTTGCTACTCTCTGTAATCTTCAAAAAGGCAAAACAGACTGGTTTTCCTATATAGAGTTGAAGTTGATTTCAGTAAGAAAATTGCCATACTGGAATTCAGTGTCCTGGCTACTAAATTATTTTCAGGCTTGTTAAATGTTCCATTCACTGACCAGAGTCATTCATTTTTTTGGTTGTGTTGTAGTTAAATTTGTGAGTGAATTTCATGACACTGCCTGCAATATATAAACACTGTTATGCACATAAATGCAGCACTGTGATCTAATTTAAATAACTTTATTATTATTTAATATGTAATATATGTTAATACTTCAGTATGGAAAGAACCATGCACAACCTCTGACCGTCTGTTTTTCTACTATCAGGAATTTAAAAACATAGTTAACCACACATATTTTACTTTTCCTATGAATCTATAATCTTGGTGTAGGATTTTTTTTAAGTTGAATTTTATAAGTATTTACTAAATATTCTATGCTATCATATATATGAACATTCTCTTACTTTTTTTCACATTTCTTTATACAAACGTCCCTTCTGATTGTAGTTCTAACTGGAAAATTGGGTGGAGAGACTTTGGTAAGCCAGGGATCATTTTCTCCAAACTCTTCCTTGAATCAAAATGCAAAATTGTAGATGTGAAAGTTTTATGAAGTCAACTGTGTCTCTGCAATTCTTCCACAACTCAGCGGGCCAGCCCTGCTTCACTAACCAAAAACTACCTTTTGAATTCAATCTCTGGTGCTGTATTTTGCTAATCAATATTCAAAATTTAGAAATAAATGTTTTGAAACCATTTTTTCATAGAGCTTCTTTTGCTATTTTTTCAGTGCTAGCATTTGAAACTATACTTACCTAAAACAAAATCTACTTTTTTGAATCTGGTTGCCAATGATAACAGAGGAATGGCTCCATTTTTTTTCAATTCTAAATGAGAATCACTGATACCCCAGCATCAACAAAGTTTTAGCTTAAAAAAAGTAAAGCCATATCTACCAAACCACCTTTTGATTATGGAAGAGCAGCTAAATCCAGCCTCTCACCCAAAAGACAATTGATAGAGATTAAATTAGGAAGTAACAGTTGTGGGTTTGCACACATATTTTCCCAATAGATTTGTGTGCAGAAGCTGAAAGGGGAGATTTGAGTTGCACTGTCATAAGTCTGTTTATGAAGAAAAGATCTGATGACTGAATATACCTTACAGATTTGGATTTCTTCTGACTTGGCTTGAACCTGATTAGGTTTTCCCTTCAGTACTACTATTAAGATGAAAATGCTGGTGCTTGGAGTTCTGTTTTAATACTTGCATTAATGAATTTCAAAATCAAATTGATTTACCCTGGTTTCACTTTTGTATTATACACACTCACTACTTCAGTCTGCCTTGGGGTCAAATGTTGGAAGAGATGGGGTAGGGAATGATTTCTGTGTGTATGAAAAAGCATTATGGATTTGTACATTTTTATACTCTTCTGTGATATTTTTGAAATATTTTTGTTCTGCAGAAAAAAAGTGATGAAGCAATCAAAAGACCAATATATACAATATCAATGCTTTGGGGGGGAGGGTCATGAGACCTTCATTGGCCAATAGATTAATTTAGTACAGCAATAAGCCAATTATGTTCTTTTTCTTTTTGTTTTCTGATTTTATTCCTCTTTTCCCGGAAAATGCTGTACTAGTTGAATGAAACTGCCAGTTTCTTTAATATAAATGAGAACTGTGATGGGGACATAAACAGTAATGTTAAGTTGTATTTGTGTTTACCTAAATGAGCAGTCAAAAGGCAAGTGCAATCAGCCAGAAATATGGAAAAATGTTGATCTAGAGGCATACTTGCATTTTATGTTTCTTGATGTGTAATCATATTGCCAAAGACAAACTCTTTCATCAGTTATTATTGTAAATAACACTCTCCCAAAACCTTCCATAAAGTTTCTGTGATGTATTGTCTTCCAGTTGCAATAAAAATTACCGAGTTGCATCAGTTGAATAACTGCAGTTATCGGTGTTGGCTGTTATTTATTTAAAGCTGTACAATGCAATACTACTGAAGCAAGTATTTTACTGTGATACTCTCTGAGCTGGGCTGTTTACTTGTAGATGTTTTATTACCGGACTTGGTAACGTTATCAGTGCTAGTGAATGTGAGATTTGCTCCTTGTTTATGTACAGTAGATTTACCTTGCTGGTGGGTTGATGAGGCTGGGGCTTTCTTCTCCATAGCATTGATAATATTACTGAACCAGGTAATGGAAATATCTACAAGTGAATGGCCAAACTCAGCACCAAGGATTCTATGAGCGGAATTGAGCCATGAGCTACAGATATTCTCTTCTATTGCAAGTATCCTACTTAATTAAAATTACCCCAGTCAACTTTAAATAACTAACTCATACATGGAGGACTTGAATAGAAAGATCAGATCCAGACTTCTTCTCTCTTTTTTTTTCAAGAAGGACTTCAGAGAATCCTTTTTTTTTTTTTCTCAATAGCCTTGAAAAACTACAAGAGGATTCAGAGATCAGGTTTTTGTGTGAGAGAAGAATGGGATTTGGGGGAGTGGAAGAAAGGAAGTTGATCATTTTTCTCCTATTTAGAATCTCCAAATACTGAAAAAACATAAACTTTGGTTTAACTCGATATTGTCTATATCAAGGGTGGAAAACCAACAGCACTCATTCTGTGAGAACAAAGCACTCTTAAGAGGACACTGCTTTGTTGGGTATCCAAATAGCCATATTCTGGCAGTATGATTTTCATATTTAAAATGTAAAAATAAGTAAATAGCGCATCTTCCAAATTATGATAAAAATGAGTTGATCATATCTCTTTAATGACATCACCACATCATTGGAATATTTCTTGCTATCTGCTGGCTATTTGAAAAGCTAAATATGACCTCCAACCAGTGAAAATTTCCTATTCCTGCTTAGAATATTCTAAGATTTTCCTAAAGTAAACTTTTTATGTCAGGAATACAAATTTAGATCTTCTCCATGCAAAGATAAAGCCGTGTTCTAAAATAAGTTTAGTTGTATTCAGTATATATATAGCCTGCAAGTGAAAAAAACACCAATTGTAAAATTGCACTTTCATAAAAAGCTGTCTTCTTTCAAGTAAGACTTCCTCCAGTTTTTTTGGCTGCATTCTTTACTCTGATGGACAGTGGCGCTAATTCACATTAACCTTTTAATTAAAGCATGCTACACCCCTGATCTACCTTCTTTCTTAAATTCAGCATATTTGCAGTCCTGCCTACTTATTTAGCATTTATATTTTTTAAAAGTTTTTCTAATCTAAGTGAAATGTTAATATATATTGCTAATCCATGAATGATATGTTGTTGTTGTTGTTGTTGTTAATTGCGAAGTCGTGTCCGACCCATCGCAACCCCATGGACAACGTTCCTCCAGGTCTTCCTGTCCTCTACCATCTTCTGGAGTCCATTTAAGTTCACACCTACTGCTTCAGTGACTCCATCCAGCCATCTCATTCTCTGTCGTCCCTTCTTCTATTGCCCTCAATCTTTCCCAGCATTAGGCCCTTCTCCAGTGAGTCCTTCCTTCTCATTAGGTGGCCAAAGTATTTGAATGATATGCTATATGCTAAATAATAATATTGGTGAAGCCATCAAATTGCCTGTAATATTAGGTAAGTATATAAGTCTATGCTAATACTATAATCACTTTTTTAGCATTGATTCTGGAATATACACAATTACTTCATCAATAAAACAGTGGTTTCTTTTAACAGAATCAGTTAAATGGCTAACAAAAGGCAGAGTTTAGCAATGCCATATTAAATTTGGCTTGTTACATGAATTACAAATCATTCAATTTTTATCCAGCCTTTTTAAAGACAAGTCAAGGCAGCCAACATACAAATATTTCTGCCTCCCATGTTCCTCACAACTCTTTTGAGGTGGGTTGGACTGAGAAACAATCACTGATCCAAAGTCACCCAATCGGTCTGGACTGTGAAGTCAGGTGGGTCTCCAACAGAAAAGGTGTTCAAGATTCATCAAGCCTGTAGGTTGCCCCAACAACATACTTACTGAGCTTATAATGCTGTGATTCCATATTCTTGCATAAGACATAATTTTAAAAGGATTTTATGCTAAAAAAAGAGGGAGAAACCTCATAAAATCAAAAATACTAAAGAAAAAACTATCCCTCCATATGTTGTACAATTAGATTCCTAGCAATTAAGTCCATTTATTCAAAATGGGAAGAAAAACTAAGCAAGGCTATGGACCTCACATTTATATACAGTATATTCCTCCAAAAAGGAATCTGAGGGAGAAGGGCAGTTAAGAAATAGGAAATACATAAAAAAGTGTTTGCTTATAGAGAGAGTTGAATTATTCAGAGCTTGCATATTTGGTAGAGAATGGATATTTTGCTATAAAATCCATTCATGATAACATAAGCATACAGCATGCCAATACTGAAGTATATCAAGACTTGATCTCTGCTCTCTTAGCAATATCAGCTGAAGCCAATTCAAAAATCCCCAGCCCTAATAGGAGATCCAAGGTATACCATTGCTGCTGACATCAAAGTTGTTTCAAGATCCAGGAGAACAACCAGCACAATGCTCTCCCTAGTACCTTCCAGTATGGTCACCTGCTAAGCTGACAAAGCAATTTCAGTGCCAAATCCCAATTGAAATAGGTCACAAATAGTTTATTCATATATAGCAATAGGTTTAGACATATACAGCTTCATATTGTTTAACAGCACTCTCTAGATTATTTATAGAGTCAGCATATTGCCCCCAACAATCTGAGCCCTTATTTTACAGATCTTGGAAGGATGGGTGGAGTCAACCTTGAGCCAGTCAGTCTCGAACTCCTGGCAGAGGGCAGAGAGGGCGCAGTACTGAATTCTAACTACTGCGCCACCAGAAGGGTATGAGCTTGGGTTGTATAGGATCAGGAGAACACTTCAGTTAATATGTATCTCCAATTAGAAGTCTGTGGGATGTATAGTATATAGCCTACATGCTGGGATTGCAAAGCTCCCAAACACCATTAAATGGCAGCAAAGATAAAATGAAAATTAACTCCTTGTTGCCATCTGGATTTTTGCAGATGAGAAATGATAGTCTTACCATGTGCATAGCTATAGCATTATTCTAATTAGAAGAAAGGAAACTTTCTTAAAGTGACCAGATGAATTTATTGTTATAGTCAGAACTGCCAACTGCAGCTTCCATCTTCTATCTCACATGCCTAATCACTACATGACTAGGTCATCTCTCAATACAGTACATATTGATTGTTCTCAGAACCTTGCAGGCCAAGATGAACTGCCTTCTATATAATCAGTTCTTTCTATTTTCCATCTGAGGACAGAACGTTTCGTTCTAGCCAGTTGTCAATCTCTACGCAGGAGAAAGTGGATCACATTCCATCCTGTCACCACTGTCCCAGGAGCATTGTGGATAATAAATTGTTTACTCAGTCTTCTGACGACTAATCTCTGGCTTGCAGAACAAGTGTCACTAGGAAATTTGCCAGCCCATATATTCTAAGGAATTGCCAAATAGTCTTTCATTAGTCCCTTCTTTATTTATTTATCTATCCATATGCTCATTCTTATACAGTATACATCCAACATTTAGAAATGTAGACAGTAACTTATGCAAATCTAAAGTAGTTGATCTAGTCTGTTGCTCATAATATTGAAAGCATTAATAATAAAGAAGCTTTTATGCCCAATTTTATTTTCTAGATTGACTGCACCAAGCAGGCTAGAAATTGAGAATAGCGAAATAAAAGATCTTAAATATTAATTTTCTCCTACATGATGTCCTCCAAATGTTCTTCCAGCTTGGTGGGTTTTTTTTTTTTCTTTTGAGGGGACACCATTCTTTTGTTGGATGGGAAATGCCTCTTATCACCATAGCACTTTATTTTGAACTATAATTTTCATCTCCAGCCAGCATGGTCATCAGTGTAATACATCGAAGGATTGGGGGGAAGGGGGATATTAAATTGAAGAAAGTTGTTCTATGCTAATAGCAATGTTCATTTACTAGGCATCAATTCTTAGGAGGCAAGAGAAGAGGTGGGTATTAACATAGGAATGTTAACATGGGAAGTATGGGAGGAACCTTATATAATAAAACCCCTGAAAGTTGATCACCCGAGGGACTGAACTAAAGTGGTCAACATATGGAGGTGGTCAACATACAGAACAACTGTACTGATAATGTACACATGCTTCATTTTATTGTACAGCTTTTATCAGAGAATGTCATACAGAAACACACATAGTGAAAACACTGGAAAATCATTCATACAATACTGTATCATACAAGATCAAAGTGTGATCATTCTTTCTGAAAAAAGAGTCAATTTTAGTCTGTTTATTATTCTTTTTATGAAGCTAAGTGGAAAAAGCACTCTCAACACTAGCTATACCCCTCAGCATACCTGGGCCTTTTTTCCATGCAAATGACTATTCTGCAATTTCTGGTTATAGATAGGCAGGAACATCTGGGTTTTGTTGCATTTATGGTTCATTCTTTAATTTTCCCTCTGGCTATTTTAAGATATTAGTGCAGCAGGCTGATCCTCTGCTGGTCAATTGAATACTATCTCGCTGGGTATTTCAATCTATTGTATTGTTTTTTTCCAAAAATAGTTCTCACCTGAAAATGAAAACACAAGAGTTTGCTTGCTTTGCCCAGACAGGAGAAAACTGTTAGACCCCTCAAGTGTATTTCATTTATTCTTTTCCTGCTTATGCTTATGTATTTATTTTCAGGACCGGCTATTCTGTGGGGGGAGAGGTGCTTGCATGGGGGGGATGTTAACTTCTTTCCTCTGCTTTGTATGGGGTGCCCTCCCTCTGAGTGAGAGGAATGTGACCTGAAAATATCTGCCTTATTTCCAGACAATGGAGCCTGGGACTGTTGGGAAACAAAACTAAATGCCATGTTTCAGACTGTGAGAATTTTTTCTTTGCTTTTTTCTTGATGTTTCATTACTC